AAGATTTACGAGTGCTAGATTTTAATAAGGAGGAAGAAGCTGCAGGTGATGCCAAAGAAAGGCTTTGATACTAACTCAAAATGTTAGGGGAGAGAGGTCGACGAGAGGTAGAATAGAATTTCTCCGATTTGATATTTTATTAGGAGTTGAAGTAATCCTTATATATTTTTATAAGAGATAAGGATACAACTATACAAGGGTTTCTATCTATTTACAATTCTTATCTTATCTTCCTAGCGGATCACGTTAGGAGAAGATGTGTGTGAAAAGGAGTCTGCTACTGTCGTGGAAGTCATGGAATATGTGAAGTCCGATTCCGGATCGGTGGAACCCGTGACACCTATTACGTAATCCTTAGCAAACTCATGCTGCTGAACAGATTATCTTAACACTCCCTCGTAAATTGATAGTGGTCGGCTACCAATTGTCGGTTTATCCCTCAAAAATGTAAACCTCGTTTGTGGATAATGGTTTGGTTAATATGTCGACAACTCGATCTTGTGTGGAGATAAACTTGACCTATAGACTCCCCCAGCTACCATATCTCGACAAAGGAGAAGTCTATTTCCACATGTTTTGTATGTGCATGGAATACCGGATTGATTGCTAAATATGTAGCGCCAATGTTATCACACCATATGATGGGTTTAGTTATTGGACGACATCCCAACTCTCATGATAAAGATGTAATCCAAATGAGTTCTATTGCTAATTTAGCTACCGCCTTGTACTTTATCCTTGTAGAGCTATGTGCCATTGTTTTACGCTTGTTGGACTTCCAATCGATGAGGTTCGACCCAAGGAATACTACATATCCATTGATGGATTTCCATCATCAAGTGAACTAGCCCAATCCGAATTTGAAAACCCTATAAGTAATTGAGAGGCCGAATGTTTGATATGTAAACCATGATCTATGGTATGATTTAAGTAGCGTAGAATGCGTTTAACGACAATCCAATGAGTTACCTATGGATTGTGCATAAACCGACGGACTTTGTTAAGCGAGAAAGCGATCTACGGCCTAGTCAAGGTGGCATACTGAAGTGCACCTATCCTACAAGTTAATTGTAATTGCGGGATAATTGATTTATGGGTTTATATTCCAATAAATCAAATCGGTTCCTTAGCTACGCTCTCCATCCTAGACCACTTTTAGGATGTATTGATCGCCTTTCCCACGAAGCATTTAAGAGAGTCCGAAAAAAAAAAAAGAAAAAAAAAACCAAGAACACTAATAAGCACTTCTATACATGAAGACACATATAGTTTAATATATCTAAATTTTGGTATCTACGAGATTTACCTTATGTCCCGAGGGACCTCTGCATCACAGAGGTATCCCTCGTGTTACAATTGGATTGAAACCCTAAACTGAATTTTCTTTTTAGTGTATCGCCAACCCGATGAATGGAGCTTGACTTGAGCTTTTGCAAGTTACCATCATCATTTTCTTCTTCATTGAAGTTGTCCTCTTTGAATAAGACAAGCCTACATAAAGTTACGGTTCGTTTTTCATTCATTTTGATGATTGCGAGAGTTTGTTGAATAAGATATATATAGCTAAAATTAGATTTCGTTCAAAAGACTCAAAATTTTATAATGCATGACCTCTTATCAAATTTATATATTAATTATTTTTTGTTTAACTATTCAATGTGCGATATGTTTTCTAACACTTCCTGTCATTTGCAGTTTATATTTTAGAATTTTTCAAGTGGTTTGAGATTTAGGATGTTTGCTAGGTCATTAGTTTTCTTTAAGCCTTGGATACCATATTTAGATAGTTGAGATTGAGTTCAGTAAAAAAAAAAACTTGAGTTTTATAGTGAGTAACCGTTTCTCAATTTTATATATTAATTATTTTAGTTTAATTATTTAATATGTGATACATTCTCTAACAATATAGAGAGATATAGGTTCCTTACGTATTATCATCTACGGTTTCCTAGCACCACATGCGTGTCTTTTTCTCTTTAGTCTATGGTTTCTTGATACCACTTGCCAATTAAGGGTTTCTTGCCTATTTTTTCTTTAGCACATAGAATTTCTATACCATAATAAGTGTGTTAGAGAGTAATACAAAATAATTTTTAGAGTCTCACTTAGTAATTAAACCATTAGATCGAGATGATTATTTGATATGATATCAAAATTATACTCGACTAAACTATTTTTGGAGTCTCACCTAACTTCTTAATCTATATTATTCTTTGAAATGGTGTGTTAGTAATTGCTAGTGCTATAATTAGCACAAAAACATGGATGCCAATTGATATCTTCCTTGTCATTTTTTAAAACATAGATAACGCCAATTGAAAGCAAATAGGTTCGTTCTAATCCAAGGTCTAGCTAGAATGTTGATGTTTATCTTATCCTAAGGGTGGATTTCTTTTTATCGTGGCTGGGATTTCTTGCCTTTTTTCGCATTATCACATAAGGTATGGTAGTTGATTGCTAGAGCTATAATTAGAAAATGACAATTAAAAGAAAAGGGATTTGTTTCCCTTTCGAAGTATTAATTATTCTCTCATCTGATATTGCTAATTAATTGCATTTTATTTTTTTACCGTATCTTACAAGCACAACTCATGCAGTCAAGAAAAACTATTTCCAGGTTAAGATCTCATGACTTGAGGTCATATCGTGAAACCATTGACTTATTCTACAATATATGTAAAACTTAGATTAAAATCTCTTCAACTTAGTGTATATATATATGACATTGTCAGCCCATCTCAAAAGGCATGTAATAGGGACATGCAAACTTGATTGCATAATATCTCTTGAGGGTGTAAAATATCTGACTTGAACGGTAGTCAAATATAACAAATTTACTAATTCGCTATAAAATTATTAGATGAAAATTCCCTTGCTACATGTTTTTTTTATATCAAGAGTAAATAATTAGCTACGAGTATTACTTTTCATTCGAAGCACTTGTGGAAAGGCTCATGGGTGATAAACGATGAATTATGAACTTTCTAAATATTAATTAAATAATGATTGAAAATGAAAAGAATAATTGATATATGTATGAAAATTTTATATGATTATTGTTTATTACATTGCACATAAAAAAAAAAAAGGGGTTCAAGATACTACATTTCTATATACCCATTTATATGATATCTGCTTCACATCTTTTGGCTTCAACACCGACTCTTAGGTTTGATTTTGCTTCAAAGATGTTATCTCTTCCCCCATTCAGTGCTCTCGTATGCTTCTTCAAATGTCTTTCGCTCTTCCACACTCTCTTCTTCAGTAAGAGCTGCATTTGTATGCTTATGATTTGGTCTTCGTCATCTTTTTTTATCTTTGAAGTTGTTGTGGTTGCTTCTCCACTACTTCCTTACACTGATTTGGCAAAAGGCCTTCTAACATACTATATACTCCTGTTCGCCACATACGCGGGGAAGAGTTAGTTCTCATAATCACTTCTGGAGACATTTGTTGTTCCCCAATTTTTGGGCTTGATAGTGGACTATCTTCTTGTTCGAGCAACTCTCTAGTAGTTTGTCCTCCAACTCCTTTTGAGTCTGGCAATGCTACCTCTTAAGATGACAACCATGATGATGCTTCATCAAATACTATATTTCGTGAAATATAGCAATGACCCGTTGTAGGATCACAACACTTCCTTTCTTTCTTTAGAGAGTCATAGCCGACGAAAGTGCATCGAAGTGCCTTTTTGTCAAACTTCATGCACAATTGATCAGGTACGAACACATAATACACACACCTGAAAACTTTAAGATGGCTCGCCGTTGGCTTAAAATTCCATAATTTCTCGAAAGGTGAAATGAAGCCTAGTCGTGCTTGAGGTAGCTGATTTGTAACATATATATACTGCTGTCTTCATGCATTCAGCCCAAAAGCAGCTAGGCACGTTCTTTGCATGCAACATGATCCGATAAGTTTCTGCAAGATGTCCATTTTTCCTTTTTGTTACACCATTCTATTGTGGTGTTCTTGAACATGTCAACCGTCGCCGAATTTTACAATTTTTAAGGTACTCAGAAAAATCATTTGATGTGTATTCGCCCCATTATCAATGTGTAAACACTTGATCTTTTCATCAACATCAGTTTCAACCTTCTCCTTGAACTTCTCTAAGGATGGAGGTTCCTTCTTCTCTCTGGTTTCCTAATACCGCATGTTGTTTCTTTCTAGGATTTGGTTTATTGACAGCACTAGCCGGTTGGAGTTTCTTCTCTTCTTTTGTTTTTGGACATTCAATCTCAATACCCAATTTGATGTGTTAATAATTGCCAGTGTTATAATTAGGTAAAAAAAAAGTTAAAAGATTACAAACCCATCTGTAGAATTATGAGGAACTCTAAAAAAATTGCTTCAGCAGTTGAATGTGATGATTGCAGAGTTATTCATATTCATATTGTGCAGAGTGAATGCCTTAATTTTTATTTAATATTCACTTGTCTAATTTAATTTTAGTTAATTGAATTAATATTAAAACAGTGATTCAAAAAAAAAAAATTGAATTAAACCATGAATCACTGAAATACAATAAAATGATTCACGTGTAATCTATATTTTCATTTCATATAAATTCGAATGTTTGCAGTATGAATAATCATTCAACACATACAAGGTAACAATTGTACATGAATCGAGTAAATTCACAAAATTCTAGTTGCAGTATTCTTGCTTCAATTTTACCACTCAAATTTTCTTGCATCCTTGCCATTACCTACAAAAAGATTCTAAAAAGAATCTAGGCTCTATTCCCACAACAACTACATAATAGTTAATTTATGTTCTAAGAAATTAAATTGGTTTCTCAGCTACAAAACGCTCATAAAGCTTCAAAGAGGACGAAACGGAGATATCCTTTTGAGTAGAATTGGAAGTTTTGGAGATTGGAGCTACTGCTTTTAATTTGTGTCAGTAATCATTGCATCTTCAGCAAAGCATCTTCCTGCCATTCTATGCACAATCATGTTAGCTGTTGGCCCCAAATCTTTAGTAATAGGATTATTTTACATCCTACAAAGCAGAACAAATAATTAGAACATAAATATACCAAAAGTTACATTCGTCTGAAGTTTATATAAAGTTGGAAATTTAAGGAGTAAATAAATACCTTAAGTTAAGCTGCATACAAACAAAACAATCCATCTTCAAGATATTGAATAAAGTATAGGCTCTTGCTTCTGCATATAGGCTAAACAACATGAGGTAATTATCAGTCTCATGTTTTATTGTTAAAACTGGTCTAGTGATTAGAGGAAGGTGTACCTGTGGAAGGCAAAGGGATATGCAGTCGCCTCGTTAGGTGCTTTGAGCAGCTTCATTGAGATCGGGGCGTCTACTAATGGCACCTGCAAAAGATTTCATAAGAAAACAGTCCAAAATCTGAAATATTTCGTAATCTAATATGGTATTATGTGGATGGAATACATACCTTTCCCTTCTTACAACATGTTAGAAGTTGGTGCTGGATGAAAGTGTCTGGGATCATGTTAATACTGCTTGTATTTCTATTCCCACACTTCAAACCTTGTTCATTTCTTAATCTGTAGCGCAGGAGAGGAATAATTGTCAGGTTGTGATGTTCAGAAGAGCACTAAAACATTTGATTATGGAGGTAAACCGAAGAATGATTCAACCAAGAAATTACAGTGAAATCCTTACCTCTCTGATATGTCATTGATTTGATAAATGAAACTTGACTTAAGCTTTTGCATGTCACCATCTTCATCTTCTTCATTGGCACTGTCTTCTTTGAGTAAGGCTACACTGTGTAAGACAACAGTTCTTATTTCACCCATTTCGATGATTGTGAAAGGTTGCTGAATAAGATATTATATAGAGACTAGATTCCTACTCCTCTAGGGTTAGATTTTTTTATACCACCTACTGATTGGATTTCTTACCTTAATTTGCTTTAGATTTCTTTCCTTAATTTGCTTTAGCACATAGGATTTCTCCATACCACATAAGGTATATTAATAATTAGCAGGGCTGTAATTAACACAAAAGTAATGATGCCAAAACACAGATGATGCCAATTGACAGCAAAGAGATTTTGTTCAAATCGAAGGTGTAGAGGATGCATGTCTATCCTATCCGACTATAGATACCTTCAAAGATTATTTATAGGGTTTGATGAGTTGATGATAACAAGGGCGGTAAATAATAAAAAATAAAAAATGAAAACTGTATTGTCATTGCAAAAGAGAGAATGCCAATTGAAAGAAAAGGGGTTAATTTGGTTAAAAAAATAATTGAGTGGTGTTTCTTTTTGAATTTTTTATTGTTTATTCTGTCATTTTTAATTTTCTGTTAGGTTTCTTTCACATTAATTGGTCACAAGAGTTATAGGAAATTTTCAATAGTTCCTAAAATTTGTCATCTTTAATTAGTAAAAGTTAAGCCATAGATATAGTCTCGTAGATAATAACAAGGTTTTATATCTATGTTTATGCAGGTACAATGTTGACCCTAATTAAAACTGTGGCATTGCCTGTTTAAAATATTTAAGTAAAAAATAATGTGATTTAGGAGGAAATATAGTTCACAAGACAAATGGAAGATTCATCAATAATGTCTGCAGAAACAATTTCATATGCCAGTCATGAGAATTTTTAAATTTTTTTTTTTTTTTTTTTTGATAAAAATCAGTCAGTATATTGGATAGAGCCAACAAGAGATTGGCTAAAAAATAAATACAGAATACGTCTTTCTAACTTATTGTCATGATAAACAAAAATAAACAAGGACAAAATCATAATGCAAGTTAAGAACATCTCATGCCGTAAACCATAATCTTCATTCATAGTCGTGAGATCCACAACCTGTTACTTATTTTACAACATCAACTGTTTACAAATCCATACCAACAAAATTTCTATAAAATCAAGTGCTCATATAAAAAATGAATTTCCAAATTTCTATAAAATTGCTTTTAGCCTTTTTCTTTTCTTCTAATGAATTTCCTTCCTAGATTTACATGTTAGAAAGGAAAATGGAGTGAAAGATTTAACTTTTAGCCTCAAACTTCATGTAGTTATGAAACTTGAAACATCATTTGATCATTTACTAAGTCTTTGGTAATGATTTTAAAAACTATGGGAAAATAAGCCACGAAACATTTCGACAAATCCCAAATTATTTTCAATTACACTCACCGATAACACCATTGAAAGAACAAAGAACTACAGATAATTAAAGAAAGATTTTTCTCAATAAAATCAAAGAAAAGAAATGGCATTTGAAGTTACAATCAAGAATGCAGTACGAAAAGAAGAATAAATAATAAATTTATATTTCTTGAGCCATGAATTTGTCCATAGATACCTAATAGCTAATGTATCTTTTTCTTGATTTATCCTAAGGAATTTGTCATCAATAATGTCTGCAAAAGGTAAAATGTCAATAAATGTGACTTTTGTAAGTTCATAAACCGAAACAAATTACCACAAAAAACAAAAAAAAGATACCAATTTATTGTTGTCATAACTTAATATCACAGTTGTCTATGAAGAGACAAAATTATAATTGTAAAAGCAATATGTTGAATTTAAAATTACAAGTATTTGGTTTGTTCTTTTTCTTTCAACCAATCTTTTATTACATGAGATCCCTAAAACATTTAATACCAATAAGGAACAAATGAGGTCGGTGCTCGCTTTATCCAAGGCATATCAAATGTGGAGAAATCTTGGACACAACACATGTAAAATTGATTTATAATCTTCCCAAATATAAATAGAGACAAACCAGCTAAATCTATTAGTTTCAAATAAGTTCGATCAGTTGTATAGATCCCCATCTTACATTCAACATACACGTGCCCACGCTCTAGTGTTCACAAATAACATTTCTCATTTAATGATAATAACTACTAACATTTGTAATCATTCCAAATTTATGAGATTCTAAAAAAAAAAAACAACATGATAATATGCAAAGCTTGTCAAATATGTCAACACCAATAAAATATGCAAGAACTAGTTTGAATTAGACTCCCACTTGGATATCAAATGTGAAGAAATCTTGGACATAACACATGAAAAACTGATTTATAATCTTCCCAAATATAAATACGGACAAACCAACTAAATCTATTAGTTTCAAACAAGTTCGATCAGCTTGTATAAATCCCCATCTTCCATTCAACTTACACGTGCCCATGCTCTACTCGTTCACAAATAACATTTCTCATTTAATGATAGTAACTACTAACATTTGTAATCATTCCAAATTTATGAGATTCTAAACAAAAAAAAAAAAAAAACAACAACATGATAATATGCAAAGCTTGTCAAATATGTCAACACCAATAAAACATGCAAGAACTCGTTTGAATTAGACTCCAACTTGGATATCAAATGTGGAGAAATCTTGGACATAACATATGAAAAACTGATTTATAATCTTCCCAAATATAAATGCGGACAAACTAGTTAAATCTATTAGTTTAAAACAAGTTCGATCGGTTGTATAGATCCCCATCTTCCATTCAACTTACACGTGCCCACGCTCTAGTGTTCACAAATAAAATTTCTCATTTAATGATAATAACTACTAACATTGGTAATCATTCCAAATTTATGAGATTCTAAAAAAAAAAAAAAAAACATGATAATATGCAAAGCTTGTCAAATATGTCAACACCAATAAAATATGTAAGAACTAGTTTGAATTAGACTCCCGCTTGGATATCAAATGTGAAGAAATCTTGGACACGACATATGAAAAACTGATTTATAATCTTCCCAAATATAAATCCGGACAAACCAACTAAATCTATTAGTTTCAAACAGAGTTCGATCAGTTGTATAAATCCTTATCTTCCATTCAACTTACACGCGCTCATGCTCTAGTGTTCACAAATAACATTTCTCATTTAATGATAGTAACTACTAACATTTGTAATCATTCCAAATTTATGAGATTCTAAAAAAAAAAAAAACAACATGATAATATGCAAAGCTTGTCAAATATGTCAACACCAATAAAATATGTAAGAACTCGTTTGAATTAGACTCCGACTTGGATATCAAATGTGGAGAAATCTTGGACATAACGTATGAAAAACTGATTTATAATCTTCCCAAATATAAATACGGACAAACTAGCTAAATCTATTAGTTTCAAACAAGTTCGATCGGTTATATAGATCCTCATCTTCCATTCAACTTACACGTGCCCATGCTCTAGTGTTCACAAATAACATTTCTCATTTAATGATAATAACTACTAACATTTGTAATCATTCCAAATTTATGAGATTCTAAAAAAAAAAAAAAACATGATAATATGCAAAGCTTGTCAAATATGTCAACACCAATAAAATATGCAAGAACTAGTTTGAATTAGATTCCCACTTGGATACCAAATGTGAAGAAATCTTGGACACGACACATGAAAAATTGATTTATAATCTTCCCAAATATAAATGCGGACAAACCAACTAAATCTATTAGTTTCAAACAAGTTCGATCAGTTGTATAAATCCCCATCTTCCATTCAACTTACACACACCTATGCTCTAGTGTTCATAAATAACATTTCTCATTTAACGATAGTAACTACTAACATTTGTAATCATTCCAAATTTATGAGATTCTAAAAAAAAAAAAACAACATGATAATATGCAAAGCTTGTCAAATATGTCAACACCAATAAAATATGCAAGAACTAGTTTGAATTAGACTCCGACTTGGATATCAAATATAGAGAAATCTTGGACATAACGTATGAAAAACTGATTTATAATCTTCCCAAATATAAATACGGATAAACTAGCTAAATCTATTAGTTTCAAACAAGTTCAATCAGTTGTATAGATCCCCATCTTCCATTCAACTTACACGTGCCCACGCTCTAGTGTTCACAAATAACATTTCTCATTTAATGATAGTAACTACTAACATTTGTAATCATTCCAAATTTATGAGATTCTAAAAAAAAAAAACAACATGATAATATGCAAAGCTTGTCAAATATGTCAACACCAATAAAATATACAAGAACTAGTTTGAATTAGACTCCCACTTGGATATCAAATGTGAAGAAATCTTGGGCACAACACATGAAAAACTGATTTATAATCTTCCTAAATATAAATACGGACAAACCAACTAAATTTATTAGTTTCAAACAAGTTCGATCAGTTATATAAATCCCTATCTTCCATTCAACTTACACGCTCATGCTCTAGTGTTCACAAATAACATTTCTCATTTAATGATAGTAACTACTAACATTTGTAATCATTCCAAATTTATGAGATTCTAAAAAAAAAAAAACAGCATGATAATATGCAAAGCTTGTCAAATATGTCAACACTAATAAAATATGCAAGAACTCATTTGAATTAGACTCCGACTTGGATATCAAATATGGAGAAATCTTGAAGATAACGCATGAAAAAACTGATTTATAATCTTCCCAAATATAAATACGGACAAACCAATTAAATCTATTAGTTTCAAACAAGTTCGATCCATTGT